AACATCACCCTTGAGAGGGAGAGTTCGATCCCCATCTTGGCTTATTGCGGTCATCCTGAACCCCACCGTCCCGCTTCTGCTCAATTCTAGAGTCGTTCACCGGCGAGCTGGTTCTTTTGACAGATCTTCCTCTTGGATGGCAGCCAAGTCAACGGTGATGTTGCCAGCTAACCAAGGAGGCAGTAGCCGAGGTCACCCAGTCCTGCCTAGACCACTCCATAGCGCTGGGGATCCTTGAAATCTATACAGGGGTCGAGAAGCAGTTCTTGGACTTCGCCGAGACCTGGGGTAGCTTCTCATTGGATATCCCCAAGCTTCGCAATCGCCAACCTCATCCATAGAGGTAAAAACCGGTCCATGGGTTACCACGTTGCATAGCTGTCCCACTTTTTCGGCGCTCTTCCTGTAGATGATATGGGCGTCCTCACAGCCCTATTAAACGGCGCGAAGAGAGATAGGATTTTATTCGTTACAGGCAGAAGGCCTCTATTGGAGACGTTGAAGCTATAATCAGGTTGCCTAATCACCAATTCTCCCGACAACATGGTGGTAGCTACCAGCGTCATGCTGGCTTTTTCAGGGTTACTGAGGGTCAGCGGAATCAGGCTCCTTCAGTTTCAGGACTTTTCGTATAAAGGTCATCTGGTGAGCTCTGGTCAAGAAACCCGAAACAGACCAGGGGAGGCAAGGAGCCACTGCAGCTATCAAGTGGAACTTACTGCAAATCATTTTTTGGAAAGCTTTCTGCTTATTGAGAGGCCCACTTCTTCCACACAAATTCCTTTTTAGCTAATCGGGCCACTAACCCCCTACAAGGCAGTGTCTCTAAAATCATTCACAAGATCATAAACTTAGCGGGTCCGAGCATAAGAATCTGACCACACATCCTTGAGAGGGGGCGCTACCATCCATGCTGTAAGTAAGACAGATTTAGGGAAGGTCATGTTGGCCGGTGGAAAGTTATGGGAAAGTTTCAGATGCTACGTGTACCCTCCCCCCTCTAAGCGGTCCTTCACAGGGCCTTCTTATCTCACTAGTCAGATCGATTCATGAAAGACGTCTAGCAGGTTGGCATGGTCCCTCGTCGTCACCGCTGCATTCGACTCGATTGGTGGAAGCCGTCTCAGTTGGAACTTTTATAATATAACTTTATAGTATTATTCGTGATAACAACTTTTATCACGATCCTGTTTTATCTTCGTTGCGTTCAGTTGCTGCCCTAGTGGCACGTTGTTCATGTGGCATATAGATAGTGCATGTAAGAATGTTTCGGTTTTTTGCTTGCGCCTTTCATGGTTCGCGTTCAGTTGTTATGTAGATAGCTTCTAGAAATACTTTTCAGCCTTATTGATCCTTTTCTCCTTCAAAGGACTGTCGCACTCACCACTGCATTCTTAAGTCTCAAGCTATTCAGTCAAATAACCTATCCTAGTTCATGCTGGTTATTACATTTAACCACGCATTTTTCATACCTATTCGAGCTTGCTTAGCGCTTTAACGGGTTTTCCATAGTTTCGTTGCCTACAGGTTCTTGGTTGTCGCTGCTGGAGTCGTTCCAGCCATTGCCACGTTCATGTTTCATCTTGTAAGCTCACTCTCACGCAGTTCCGCATAGTATTCCATACGCCATTAGGGCTTGGGTTGAGAGGTCATTTTCCTTGTGATAATGCATGGCAGGAGGTGGTATAGTGACAAGTGGCGCGCTCACCACTCACACGGTGGGTTCAAATTCCGGGTCGACTACCGACTTCTACCCTCCGGGGACGGTAAATTGGTACCAGATTCGTCTGGGAGGATAAAACACTGACTTGTACATCGGCTGGCCACCGCAAGTCATTGTATAGGCCACATCGCATTCAATAAGCCACTACGATTCTGAATGGAAGTATGTGCATGCCGCATCTCCACAAAAGGATTGATCAACGGCGAAGGCTTTATCTTTTTTATCCTTCATGATACATGATAATCCATGTGATAATTGCACACGGTTATTTCTGTTAAACGTGTCCCGTGGTCATCCTTACGGCCAAATTCAACTTATCGACAAGGAGGAATAAAGCTTTCTCCCCCTTGTAGCGTTGTGTGAAGGTACACAATGTATGTTTCGTCCAAAGTGTTGAGGCGAAACAATGGCACCGTCATTTGCCGACCACGCTCGTGTTGGTAAGTAATTCTGTTCTCGTTTAGTACATTTTTTCATTAGCACACACATACAGTCAACAACAATTCCATTTCGCAAGGCGAGACGTTCAAATCCCGGTCATGCCATTTTTGGATGCAAAAGCTTGACGTGCATTGCTACCGTAATGCTAAATTGGTACGCAAATTTCGAAAGCTTCTTTCTGTTACGAGTTTATCGTCAGAGTTTGGTTTTTTATTTTTCTTTTGTTTAGTACTGAGAGATGCGAAAGAGCGATTTGTGAGCCAGAGGTTTCACAGGGACGCAAGGCAGGCCACGGACTGTCACGGAGCGACCTCGTTTATGGTGTTCTTAAAAGATTTTTTTGCTTTTTTTCTTTTCTTGGGGATCACTTATCAGCTACTGGTCCATAATTGAACAGCAGTAATCCTTGACACTTGATCGCGGGAACCGTCTTCAATATCTGGTCAGATGCTTTGCTCTTTTGATTTGACTTAGCTAGGAATGTATTGTGAGAAGTGCTCCTAGACTTTGATAAGTTATCTATCGCTAGATTTCTGTAGGTCTCAGAAGTCGACATTCCAGCCCAAAACCGAAAAGAGCTTGCAAGTGAGAGAGGTGAACTGAGGTGATCATCAACTAAACTTTGCACTCTGGAACAACTTTCTAATTGAGTTGCATTTGCGTGCATGTAGTGAGAACGCGAGAAATTTTAATCAGCGACCAATGATATCGTTAAAAAGACTCAAACTTTCCTGATGGTCCTTTATTCAATTTTTTTTTCTTTCCTGACTTCGTTAGATCCCAGCAGGTCTTTGGTTGAATTTCTATGTTGTTGGAAAGCTCCAAAGATCCAAGGTGATATCTTCGTAACGCATACGCCCCCGATTCAACGGCATAACTGGGAATAGGGAAAGAGAAGATAATTGTTCGGTAGCACGGCTGAAATATGGCATTAGTGAGAATGCTGGACGAATGCGTACGATTTTATTGATTTTTCCGCGGTTCCAATGCTATATCAAGCGTGGAAATCACATATCTCACTTAGCATTCAAATATTCGAGTCGGTCACCAATCACTTAGTTGATGAATCAAATGAATGAAAAATGAATCAAATACTTGATCTTTGAGGGTTCGCGCACATTCAGAAAGTGGCGCTGGAGCACGCTTTTGCCGTGGTCCTGAAGCGAGTTATTCTTTTTGGGTTCTTTTCGTATTTTTGGCCTTTTAGGGGGAGGAGGTTGTAGGCCCACTTCAGCGAGTGGTCCTATTCAGCAGAAATTCCACACAATGCGTTGGCGTGCATTGGTGACCAGTACTACCTAATGGCTACCATCATTTACAAAATCAGTGAATTCAAGAAAATCATAGCTCGAATATGAGAGAATTCAGAAAATGATAGTTCGAATAGGGCTCGATCCGAAACTTGTTAAGCTGCTGCAGAAAGCCCCTAACAGCTGTGCATTTATAAGTGAGTTGAAAAAGGTTGACTCAATGAAATGATAGGTATGCAAGAGATCTAAGAGGTTCATGTTCTGGAATGGTTCTTACTTGTGTGTATTTGTCTGTATTTTTGTTCTTCTTTTACTTTCAATATATCGCTTGGTTTTTTTTTTTTGTAACCCATCCAGTTTCGCTAATATTGTAGCCCCCTATGTGTGCATGATGAATTAATAAAATAAATAATCAAGTAAATAATAAATAAATAAACCTCCATTGTGGGTAATGTAATGCTCATCTTGAAATAATTCTCAGCTCTACTTCTGAAGACGCCTGGGCAATCAAGTGATACCTGAGACGCACCAAGAATATTGCAGCCTGGAACGCAGTTGCAGGCAGTGTACCAGTTTTGACACACGGTCCGCGATCATGTATAGAAGTGAAAATATAACGTCGGGAGGGTAGTGTGGTCCGCGACGAACAACCTTGTACCGGTTTCGCGGCAAAAAATTGTAAGGGAGGGGCGCTATAGCGCAATATAGGTTCAGTGACGCCTCCTTTTTCCAGTGACTCCGCCTCCAGACTCCGCCTTCAAGGCCCGCCTTTCAGTGAAAAACGAAGCTGCAGGACGAAAAAGCATGAAAATCGTCACTTGTACGGTCGTAGAGTTCTTATCGGGGAATCACCTGCGAGGATGGGGGCAATGTTTAAGATGGAGTTAAGTGTGGCGTGCTTTTTTCTTTACTATCGAGTTGGAACCTTGTCGTCTACATGCATACCCGTGGTCCACTATCTTTGATAACGAGTAATCGCAGTCTTTGCCTTTAAACGGCATCATTAAACAGTATGGCATTTACCATCGATATCCCGTGCTGATCTTTTGGGCAGCTCCTCAGTTGAAAATTTGCAAGTTGATGAAAAATGGGGTGCGTCCTATCCTTGAATGGGTTCTGTTTCCCAAGAAGAGTCCCAAGAAGAGCTTCCTTTCCGAAAAGACTCAGCAACAAGCCGAATAGGTGGTAGTTGGTGGCTTAAGGTTCGTTTTCCTCCTCCTCACACGTTAGTGGATAACCTGATGGTGACTACGGTTATATTTTCTGAGTAAGATCCACCCTCAGCGCAGTCCGGCGCGGAAGGGGGCGGGGGTGGAATTGCACTTTCGCTACTTCCCACCTACGTGTTGACCCATGTAGAGAGCCTTTCCGTGAGTTGAAAGGTTTCACTATGGTGGCTCGATGAGCTTGTTAGCTTCATCGAAGTTCACAGGTTTCTTTAGTGTAAGGTATGCGGTATGGTATGGAGCTAGTGGTGCAACGAAAGTGCAAAATGCCTCGAAGCCGAACTGTGTCCCACAATCTTTTAGCGTATCCAGTCTCATCGCCACGGAATGGCGCGCACTGACGCGGAGCATGAACACATTGGGTCATCATTCTGACAGAACTCAA